TCCATTGATTAAGTACTTAAATTAAAAACAAACAAAATTAGGTTTCAGTTCTTTGTAAGTGTTGGCCTATTTTCTATTTACCTTTACTCTTGGGGTATAGCCCTTCAAGGGTCACAACTGAAAACCGAAGGTGTTTAAGGAGTTCCTTCATCCTTGGTGGCCCTGGAACCTCCAACCCTGTGAGACTCCCAGAAGATCAGCTCAGATTCTCAGGCTGTCATCTGCCACATATGAATCAGCAAATGCCCAAAAGGAAAAAGTGACACTTTGTCAGGCTCACCTCTCTGAGCTTCTCTTCTCTTCAAGTTCTCCATTCTTCAAATCCTTGCTGCCTTGACACTGTCAGATATTTAAAATATTTCATTCAGCTTTTCTAGTTATTCTCAAAAGTGTCTCCACTTTTCAAGCTAGATATAGTCTGCTATATCTAGAAACAGAAATCCTTGAGAAATTTTAAAAGATTGAATAGAGAGCCCTTCTTAGTGGTGGTTTAGATTATAGGCTAATCTAAATCGAATGTGTGGGATTTGAGCTGGAAGACCCTAGTTTGAGTCCAGTCCTTACCATAAACTGTGAGATGCTGGGAAAGCCTCAACTCCCGGGAAGATTAGAGATACATTTGCAGTGTGTGGATAGCATATATATAGACAGATCATGATGTGCATTTTTGGCCTCATCGTTGGTTCTATTTTATCTCCATTTCTATTCATCTTTCATCTTTTGTATCATTTTAATATATGTTCTTCCAAAACATCGTATTTCATTGTTAGTAATCTTAAATTTTTTCTGGAACAAGGAATTATGTTAATTGACTTATTCATTATTCATTTATTAAAATAAAAATGTTCACTCCCTGAACCTGTTTTCTCACCAATTAAATTGGAATAATGATCCCTCATTTGATTTACCAGATTGAGGTTCAGATTATATGAGGTTCAGAGAAAATGTGTATGAAAGTGCTTTGTAAAGCATATACCAGCATGATTAATTTATTTGAACCTGGGAGACACGTTCTGTATCTTTTTCTCTTTTCTCTTCATATCCTGTTCATTAGCACGGTTTGCCAATTTAATCTCCTACATTTCTGTCAAATCTGTCCACCTCCATCTTTACCAACACTCCCCTGACTGAGCCACCATCATCTCTTGCTTGAACCATTATGATAGTCTCTTACTAGTCCTCTTCACTTTTGCCCCCTCTAAATGATTTTCCTTATTTCAGTCAGTGTGGTATTTTAAAATGTAAATCTGATTAAAATACTATTCAATAGCTTCCCAGTGTTCTGAGGATAAAATTCAAAATCTTTAACTCTGCAAGATTTAGCCCTTGCCTTACCTCTCCCTCTCATAATATATGCTCCAGTTCAGTGGCTTTCCTTCAGTTGTTCCTTGCCTTAGGGCCTTTGCACATGCTGTTCTCTTTCCTCCCACCCCACCCTACCCTTGCCCCATTAACCTAGCTAACTCCTATTTATCCTGGTTTAAATATCCTTTCTCAGGAAAGGCTTTCCCGACTTCCACACCTAGGTCCTAGAACCTGAAACCTCTCCTTTATAGCAAATAAATAATTGACAGCGTAAGCACTTAGTACTGTCTATTTCCCAAACTCCTCAGTGGCAGGGACACATCTATCTAATTTATTATCATATTACCAATGCCTAACCCAGTTCTTGATGCACAATAGTGCTCAATAAATAATTGTGGCATGAATGAATAAATGAATCGTTCTTTGGTATACACAGCTGGAAGTTTGCTTTTCTGTCAGAAGCTGGAGAATTGGAAGGTACGGGTTCAGTAGGAAGCAGGATAGATCTTTTTGGTCACTCCTCTCCATCCTTTTCACATTTCCCATTTGCCTTCCCCAGCTCAATCAAAATACAGCAGTATCTCTCTCATCATAGGCTCCCCCTAAAGTGCCCCAACTGAAATACTGCTAGATCATGGGTATTTGTGAAGCTCCATCAGAAAAATATCTGAAAAGAGGATATTCTCTTTGCTAGTATCAGAAGTAGAACAAATCTCCAAAAGGGGAGCCAGCCCATGATCTCCCCAATGCCTACCCATGGGGAGCTCACAGTGGTGAAACCAGTCAGCCTTTTTCTTCTATTCCAAATTTTTTAAAAATATATATTAACACATAATATATGCTTGTGTTACAAAGATACAAAAGTATAAACAGAGGGGAAAAAGCCTTACTCTCAAGCACTGAATTTCTTTATCCAGAAGTCATAACTTTCCAAAAAATTCTATGTAAACACAAGTAAATTCATATATGTTCTCCTCCGTGCACCCCACTTTATACAAAGGTAGCTTATTCTTTACAGTTAACATGCTTATTCCATTTAACAATATAGCTTGGAGGCTGTTTTGTATCAGTTTATATCAAGCTACTTCATTCTTTTTCACACTTGCATAGTATTCTTTTGAATGCATGTCCCATAATTTATCTATCCGGTGACTTATTTAGGGACATTTAGGTTGTTTCCAATATTTTGCTACTATAACTATCAGTGCAATGGATATACTTGTATATAATTATTTTTATACATGTTAGTTTATTTGCATAATAGAATATCTAGAATTGGAATGGCTGGTTCATAAGTATAAACATTTAAAGTTTTGGTAGATATTACTTAATTTCCCTCCGTAAAGCTGCCTTAATTTACACTCTTACCAGCATTATAAGAGAGTAACTATTTTCCCACATCATCACTAACTCAGAAAGTTGTCAAACTATTTTATCTTTACCAGTCCGATAGGTTTAAAAAAAATGATATCCCAGGGTGGTTTTATTTTGCATTTTATTAAATGAAGCTGGCCATCTCTTCATGTATGTAAGAGACATTTGAACTTTCTTTTCTGTGAACTATCCATCAGATCCTTCCTTCATTTCTATTGATTTTTTGTTTCCTTATTGATTTGTAGGTACCTTTTACATTAAGGAAATTAACGCTTTGTGATATCAGTTTCAAACATTTTCCCACAGTTTGTTGTATATCCTTTAAATTTGTTTATGAGTTTTTCCATTTAAAAATTTTTAAGGAATCAAATTTATTAATCTTTTCTTTATGGCTTTGAGGTTTGCCTAATATTTTAAAAGGCCTTCTCCAGGCTAACTTAAAAATATGTCTCTTATCTTTCCTTCTAGTTCTTTTAATATTTAACTTTTTACATTTAGAGTTTTGATTCATATGAAATTTATTTTGGTGTTATGGTGCAAGGTAGAAAACCAACTTTTGTTTTGGCAAGCTAGTTATCCCAAAGCTGTTTACTAGTGAATCCTTATTTTCTCTATGATTCAAAATCCACAGTTTACACATGCTTAATGCATACATTTTGGTCTATGTATTTTTTCAATTACAGTAATATCATATTATGTTTTAATACCTAAGAAGCCTGATTATACTACACTCCCCTTTTAGAAATTTCTTTTTGAACCTTAGAATCACCTTTCTGAGTGTCAGAGAAAAAACTTGTTGGCATTTTGATTGGGAATGCATGAAACTTAAAATCAGCTTACTAAATTATCTTACCTTTTATAATCATTTTTTAGTAGTTTATGTCTTCCAGGTAAAGATCATATCATCTTCAAATAATAAAAAATTTGCCTCTTCATTCCTCATGAAGAATTTTTGTGGGGGGGGGGGGAGTAAGAAGGCAGTAGCTTCAATTTTTTTACATTATAAGATTCTTCAATTGTTCAAAGTTTTAAAAGTATAACAGAGTAAACACCAGAAAAATCACCTTCTCCAGCTCCTCTCCTCACATGCAGTCAATGTTGTCATTTATTTTATATCCTTCTATAGTTATCCCACATATATGCAGGCCAGTACAGCTACCCTGAGAGTGCTTCTAGTGACACAGTCTCAGAAGCCCAAGCAAAAGCTGGGCTTTAGAAGGCTAAAGATGGCCAAATAGGAGATCTTCTCTTGTGTCCTATCTCTTCAGTGACTAGACAAGTAGAAATAGAAAAGACATAGTCTCTGAGTCTCAACATAGTTCCAAATTTTCTCTGACAGAGTGTCCCAAACCTGGAAGGCTTGGAAAAGCTGGGGCTCTGACTTCAGCTTTTAGGACATTATTTTTCACCAACACATTCTACTTCATCTCTTTCACACAGATAAATCCCAGACATGTTCCTTCTTTATAGTATCAAAACAGCCCATGAACATCTAGCAACTTGCAGCCCATGATATGTTTAGGGCCTGAGATTTGGGGTTGGACATCTCTTCCAGAGTCTTCCAGTGTCATCCAGGCACATCTCCAAGGGTCTCTTGAGGCCACTGAAGCAACAAGCTTAGAGGTTTCTCCTGGAGTTCTCCAGTGGGAAGATTTTCCCTACTCTGCCCCTCAACTTTAGCCTGCCAGGCATACCCCTGCATGGGCCTCCTGGCACAAGAGATAAAATGAAAATGGGGCACTCCCAGGAGCTGGTTCAAGAGATACCAGTGGGGAGGGAGTAGGAGAGAAGAAGCTTGTCGGGGAGCTTATAGGAGAAGCAGAAGGAAACTCCACTATTTGCAAATTCTTAAGCCAACAAAAGTACCTCCATCATTTTCTGTCTGGAAGACAGATTCAGAAAAGGAGCCCAGAGCAACCATTCAAAACAGATATTTCCTGTGGCCAAGTGGATAAGAGCAGCCTGCAATCATGGGACAGGGTAAGCCAAGTCAGCTGTCCATGGGGCTTGCTGGACTATCAGTAGTCCCTCCATCATTACATGTTTTCATTAAAGGAAGTAAGATTGTGGTGGTGGTGATGGTGGTGTGACTATAGGGAGGAGTGGTAATAGGTACTGGTAGTTGTGGAAGTGATGGTGGTGGGGCTATAGAGCGGCAATAAGGTACGTTGTTGGTGGTAAATTGGTGGTCATAGTTGTGATGATGGTGGTAAGACGGTAATGGTGGTTAACATAGATTTATATTCTTGTCCCAGGACCATCATAACATGACTATTCTTACTGGGTGGTGATACTTATGGGAGATGACCCTGGGAAAGCATGAAGGTGTCATAGGTCCAAGGCTAAATGGCAGAGAAGGGGAGGTAAGAGTCAGGGAATTCAACTTAAAGGGGAAAAAACAGACATCGAACAAGAAAACAGGCAGACCCAGAGGATGCAGAAACCTCAGGGACCTCTGCATGGCTCTGTTAGCACATTTACAAGTCTCATTATAAATTCTCATTGTAAAATGAGAATTGCCTGAGAGACTGTCTTAATACTCTCAAGTCCCCTCATTGTGGGGTCCTTCTGGGCTGCATGGTGCTGTGCGTTTAGTGAGCCTTTAGGTGAAGCAGCCAAGTATGATCTTGGGTGAGTTGATTCTACTCTCTTGGCCTCGCTCTTCTCATCTATAAAATGAGAGAACTGGAATTAGCGATTTCAAAACCAGTTCTTAAAATTATTTGATTGTGTTCTAAGAAAAAATGAGTAGGAGTGACCAAGATTCTGGATTTTAATCATTACTTTTGGATTGGGACCAGAAGAGGAGGTCAATAATAGGAATAAGCATTGCTTTTAATGATAATAATGAGTTTCATTTAGTGGGACTTACCATGTGTCTGACACTGTGCTAAGTATATTACAGTAGTCCCTCCTTATCCACATTTTTGTTTGCCACGGTTTCAGTTACTTGTGGTCACTGTGGTTCAAAAATATTAAATGGAAAATTTTGGAGGTAAACATTCATAAGTTTTAAGTTGTGTGCTCTTCTGAAGAGCATGATGAATTCTTGCACCTTGTGCTCCATCCTTCCTGGGATGTGAATGCATCCTCTTGCCCGGTATATTCATGGTGTATATGCTACACACCCTTTAGTCACTTAGTAGCCATCTCTGTTATCAGATCGACTTTTGAGGTATCGCAGAGCTTGCACTCAGGTAACCCTTATTTTAATTAATAATGGCCCTCAAACCATTCACATAACTTTCATTAAAGTATATTGTTATAATTGTTCTATTTTATTAATAGTTATTGTTGTTAATCTCTTACAGTGCCAAATTTATAAGTTAAATTTTATCATAGGAATGTATGTATAGGAAAAAATGTAATATATGTAGAGTTTGGTACTATCCATGGTTTTAGGCATCCACTGGGGAACTTGGCATGTATTCTCTATGGATAAAGAGGGGACAACTGTATATACATTATTTCATTTAATCTCCACAACTCTGCAAGGAGGCATGATTATTCTAAGGAAGAGAAAATTGAAGCTCAGAGTTACTTGCCTGAGGTGGCACATCTAGTAAGTAAGTCAAGCCAAGGATTTTTGAGCCCTGGTCTCTCTGACTCCAGGATCTCTGCTTTTACTCACGGTGTCACACATACCTCACCTCCGTGGTTTCTATTTTCCTCACAGCCCTGGGGATCAAGAGTTGCGACTTCCAGGCAGCAAGAAACAATGAAGAGCACCACACCAAGGACATCAGCTCCCGGCGCCTCATTGTGCGGAGGGGGCAGCCCTTCACCATCAGGCTGCACTTTCAGGCTCCAGTCCATGCATTTCTGCCTGCCCTAAGGAAGGTGGCCCTCATTACACAAACTGGTAAGTGGGGCAGGACTAGGCCCCCTTGGCTCATGACTGGGGGTGGGAGGAGGAGCGCAGCTCTTTCTCCAGTATCCTCTCAAGGAACTAAGGGGAAAAGGGCCCACAAAGCACCTGGGCCTTAGGAAGTTTTGTTCACCCAGCAGGGCTGCTATGAGGAGGAGATAATGTGCACAATAAGCATTATTTATCACGATTCAGATTGTTGCTCAGCGGCATTACCACTGACAAGCTTCTTTTGGTTACAAATGTAAAATCAGTTTTGTAGAAAAGCCTGAATGGGATCTAATCCAGGCTGAATATCACATTTAATTGCTACTATTTATGAATCTGTACTATATGTCAGATATTGGGCCAAGGGCTTTACATGCAATATCTCATTAAGACCTCACATCGGTCCTATGAAGCAGGTATTATTATTATACCCATTTTACAGACCATGAACCTTTCTTAGATACAGGTCCATGGGCACTGAGAACCTGTGCACTCCCATCACCTCTTACTGCCTCCCATTAATGGACGGGCCTCTTTTACTCTCTTCCAAAACCGATTTTTACCTGCTTCAAATTTGCGATACTTGACTTTATTACTCTGAGTTGTGACCAAGAGGTCCGACTGACCAATTCATCTGTGTGTGACTGCAGGAGAGCAGTCCTCCAAAGCCAACGGGATCCAAGCCATATTCCCGATTTCCAGCCTGGGGGACCGGAAGTGGTGGAGTGCTGTGGTGGAGGAGAGAGACGACCTGTGTTGGACCATCTCCATGACCACGCCCGCAGACGCTATCATTGGCCAATACTCGCTCCTGCTGCAGGTCTCAAACAGGAAGCCGTGCCTCCTGGGCCAGTTCACACTGCTCTTTAATCCCTGGGTTCGAGGTGAGTTTGGACCTGGATCAGTCTAGGTTGCGCAGGGTACTCAGGGCACAGGATCTGGGTGTAGCTCTGACAGGGAGCACCTGCCCCACGCACCAGTGGACAGTTTCCTCTAAGGGCAGCACCAGCACTCATTATTGCGATGTCTGCTCTCTGAATGAATGGCCTCTCAAATGAATGGATACCCCTAAATAGAACAGTATCTATCTAAATAGCTGACTGGAGCCACACATTAAATGGCCAGCCTCCTCCACCTCAGTAGCCAATGGGTGGGCTTTCCTGGGGTCAAGTGATTTCCTGGGGCCCAACTAGTGACCACCTCTGGCAAAGCTCAGCCCAATCTATTAGGACTATTTCATGTAGGAAAGGTTATCAGTGGCCCAAACAGGAGCCAACAGGGCCTCTCTTCCTTTCCATTCTGAAGCCTGAGTCTGTCTTTCTTTTTTAAATCTGCCACTACCCACCTTCATTCTTTGGGTTTCCTGAGGGGTTGTTTGGAGGAATAAAAAACATGTTCTCCCAGCTTTCCTATCCTTGCTACTTCAGGTAATAAGTGCATAGCCTTTTCATTTCGAAAGTTTCACTGCCAGCCTAAAGGGGGCCTCATTTCAAGGCCAGGCTGGAAAAGGAGAAGAAACATGGGGAAGTAGAAGAGATCCTCTTCAGTTCCTGCAGTCCCTACCTCTGGTCCAGTTCCTGACTCCCTCGTGTGGTACCCTAATCCCAGTGAGCTTTCTCTCTCTAGTTCTCTTGCTCAGGGTGGGGTTCTCCAGTCCTCCCTCCCTTCGATAGGACTTCCTGTCTTCAGGTCAAGGCTTTCTTTCCTGCTCCAAGGGAGTGAGCAGGTGGAACAATAGATGGGAATTAATATCCATTCGGATGCCCCTCTCTTTGTGGGTGAGTGTGGACTCAGGGTTCCCTCAGCTGGAAGAGGCCCCATGGCTCTTCATATACAGACAGAAAGACCCTCAAGCCCTTTCCCTTCAGAGCTGAGGCTTTCGTGTACCTGCCTTGCTGACTCTAAGCCCACATCCAGAACAAGGCTCTGGTCACCCAAGCAAAGACAGTTCTAGAACAGGGCTCAGTTCAAAGGGAACCCACAGTCTTCACTCCATGCCAGGATTCCTGCTTCTATGCTTGGCTTGTAGGGACCGCCTAGGGATGGTCTCTATATAAGTGTGTATGGAGGTGTCTACCTGAGCAGGAGTGAGTTGTATGCCCTGCTCATCTGGGAGGTGATTAAGAGATTGTCAGAGATTATCTGTGACTCGGTTTCATCTTAGCATACTTGGAGATGAGACTTTCCTAAACGACAAAGGAAATTTTGCACCCTATAATGAAAGTCAGATTTTTATTCATAAGCAGGAAACTTTATATAAGGAAGGCAGCACCTAAGCAGAGAAGTGGAGGGTGGTGTCACCTGTGTTCTGGCACTGTACTTCCCAGAGCCTTGCAGAGCCAAACACGTTTGTTTGAAGTGATTCCCGAGGAAGTGATATCTAGCTGACTTCATAGAGAGTACTGAGGATGGAGGGGCAGTAGTCGAGGGCACCTTGGGCATCTAGTTCTGTGATTTTAGGCCCCAGGCATTTCAGGGGTTCCTGATTTCTCATATCCTATCCTGTGTATTTGAGCACCCTCATTCCAGCTGTATGCCTATAGAGGATGGTTTGGAAATTCTTTTCTCCTTTTAGTCTCCAGGAACAAATCTAACCACCCCCCAACTCCATCCCCAGCACCAGGGGCAGGGAAAGGCAATTGGCAAGCAGAGCAGATCCACCCCCTCAGATACTCCCAGCTTCCTAAAGTGAGTGATGGCCTCGTTAAAGCCCCCATCCGTCTCCCCAGCCCAACCCTTGGATGAGGACACCAGAGAGAGACCTTGAGAGTCCTAGACCCACTTGGACACCCCTAGGACGGAAAGCCAATGCTCTGGCTTCCACTTCACCAGCCTCACTGCTCCCTCCGACCCCATCTTGCAAAATGCTCCTCTTCTCTTCTGCTCACCCCTGTCAACTTACGTTGTATTGTTTTTTTCTGAAACACTAATTTTTTTTTTTTAATTAAATGTGGGAGAGACATAACGGGCCCACTGAGAAGCTCCCTGGGCTATTGCAAAATTCTCTTGAGCTGATAAGCACTCTGGCTGCCATGTCCTCTGGACACCAGTAAGCTTTTTAAAGGTTGACTTGTTCCTGTCTGCCTGACTGACCATGAAGGCCACTTTGGCTGACCCAGAAACTCTGACCCTTTTCCCCACATTCCACCAGAGTAGAGGCCAGGTCCCAGTGGGAATGGTGAAAAGCAGGAGTTCTTCAGTCTTTATCAGGTCCCCAGAGCTGAAGGGGAGACCCGCAGCTAAACCCGACCTATGCAAGGAGGGCAGAGGCCTGTAAGTAGAGAGCAGGCCTGGCACTCACAGGCCTATTCCCTGCCTGCTTCTCACCAGAGGATGCTGTATTCCTGGCGAATGAGGCTCAACGCAGGGAGTACTTGTTGAACCAGAACGGCTTCATCTACCTGGGCACTGCCGACTGCATCCAGGCAGAGCCCTGGGACTTTGGCCAGGTACGGGGGCCTCCAGGGGAAGGTGAGGGGATGATGATTGCTCCAAAACCTTCAGTGTTCAGGCCAGACAGAGCTGGCAGGTCCAAAATCCCCTGGTCATGAGGCCATGTCTTTAGGCAATTTCAGCTGTGTGGTGCCTCTCTTTCCTCAGAGCCACATCAAACCAACCTCAACAGCTTTGAGTTATCTTCCTAAAGACCACATAAATTAAAACTCTGTTAAATCCCTACTATCTACAGGATAAAAACCAAATCGCCTGGCATGACACACAAGTCCCTTCACAGCCAAGCCACTGCTTTCCTTTCCCCAAGATCCGCCCATGCTCCAGCTCCTGGCCAGCCCCCGGACATGCAGGCTGACTGTTCTCTTTGCTTGGAAAAGTTTCCCTTATTTATCCCCTGGGAAGCTCCTACCCATCTTTAAAGATCCTCTGAAAGCCTTCCTCAACCCCAAAGGCAGAGTGAATTTCTCCACTGTGCTCCCTGCTCTGGATAAGCTTCTTTCCTAGAGTCTGGCCACATTGCTAAGACTTGTAGTGTAAGTGGCTACCCGTCCCTCTCCACTCCTAACTGCAGGCTCCTTGAGAGTAGGCGCTGCCTCGGTATCCACATGCAGGTCAGTGCTGGCAGGGGCAGTAGGAGTGCACTAAATGAAAAAAGATAGAAATGAAAAGAAACCACACAGCCCTGGTCTTCAAGAGCTCACACCCTATCCAGAGAGTCAGAGAACAGAACAGGCGGATGACTGGACTGCCAGGTACAGGGACCAGGAAGAGAGGGCCTCGAGGCCTCACGTGCACATACCACAAGGGGACAACAAAGCAAGGGAGGAAGGAATAAAGCCTGAGTCTGGGAGAATGATGAAGCGATGGGGGCTGACTTGTGGGATGGAGGCCCTTCATCATGAACCTGTGTCGTCCTTACAGTTTGAGGGGGATGTCATGGACATCAGCCTGGCCTTGCTGAGGATGGACAAGCAGGTGAAGGAGTGGGGCAACCCAGTGCATGTGGCCTGCATTTTGGGCGCCTTGGTGAGTGAGAGGAGGGGAAGTTGGACCTCTCTGACGGAGCTGCCCCTGCTCTATGGCTCTGGATATCTTCAAGACACAAATGGTCCCTTCCTCCCAGGGGATGGGGGATAGTTCCTGGAGAAGGGCATCCACAAGAGAGAGAAAAGCAAAGAGAAGTATCATTCTTCAGGACACAAGCAGCAAGGACTAAAATCAGCCTGGGTTTCCTCAGAGCACTCCCCGGTCCCCTGCCTCTTCCCTCTAGCCCAGACTGGAGAATATTCCCTGGGAGGGAGGGACTGGGGTCCATCTTACTCAGGGTTTGCTGCTAAGATGGTCAGAGGAACTTGTTTTTATTTCTCAATTATTGCCATAAATATGCAGACCATAAAGGTAGCTTGGTGCTTTTCCATTGTCCCTAAGAGTTCTTTCACAGAAGTAACGTGTTTTCATTTCCTCTTGTGCCACTGAACTACCCTCTGAAGAAGTGGTAGAGAAAGGGCCAGCCTATGAGGAGGAGGGCTCTTAGCATAAGTGGGCCTCAAGGCCCTGGGTACAAACACCCTCAAAGGACCTGGGGCCAGGCAAGTGAAGGAGCAGGGAACCCAGCTCTCAGTGAGAGGCCACTCATGCACCTCTTGTGGCTTGAGCTTTCTTTGCCAGTATGGTCCACAATCCCCTGGCTTGTGGACCTGGACCCCATCCATAAAGATTAGCCCAGTGAGCTAGGGTGGAGCCCAGGAACGTGCAGGGTTAACAAGTTTTAGGTGATTCTGATGCAGATGGTCTGTTCACTGTGTCTGGAGATCTGTAATGAGCCCTCCTCACCCCCCGCCCCCATCCGCACTCCACCCCTCTCCCACCCCAGAAACTATCCTGTCCTTGGACTCGCATAACATCCACACCTTTGCCCAAACAGCTGCATGCTTTCAAGAAGAAGAATGTCCTGCCTACCCCGCAGACCCAGGCTGCCCAGGAAGGGTCTTTGAACAAGCGCCGGGGCAGCGTGCCCATCTTGCGTCAGTGGTTCACAGGCCATGGGCGACCTGTGTATGATGGTCAGGCCTGGGTGTTGGCCGCTGTTGCTTGCACAGGTACAGAGCAGGCTTGCCTGCTGCACCCACATGTCACGTTAGCTACTGTATAGAGTGTGTGCCCCGCCTCTCAGGTTGCCCTGTGGTCCCCCATGTGGGAGGGACATCCCTAACAGTAGACACTTCCTACACTCAGCAGCATTTCCTCACCTTCATCGCACTCACAACTGGTTCAGATGCACCATCTGGCCCAGAAACCAGTTACTTGTCCTGAGCAGCATCTTCTGACCAGCTTCTGCTTCTTTTCCTCCTCAGCAAAGGGGCCAATCTAGCGACCTCTGTTCCCAAACTCACTTTCTCCCAGAGACTTTCCCTTCTCCTGCCCCAGTGCTCTGTTGTGTCTTCTGCCTGCCTCTCTCTGCTGTATGCTCTGCCTGCTGTGTAACTTGTTTATATCTCATTTCTGAGCCTTTATAGGTCCTGTGTCTGGTGTCAGATTCTAACTTTCGGTGCCCATGCCTCTCCTCTTTCCATGGTGTTACGTGGCATTTAAGACAGTGCTTGCTCAGAGGATGCATTGAAAATGCTAGCCATCCTGCCTCCGCCCCAAACCTAGGCCTCTCTGGCACCCTCTTACTCTGCCCCTTCCATGCAGTGCTGCGGTGCCTGGGAATCCCTGCTCGTGTAGTCACCACGTTCACCTCAGCCCAGGGCACTGGTGGGGGCCTGCTCGTCAATGAATACTACAGTGAGAAGGGGCTTCAGAACAGAGAAGGCCAGAGAGGCAGAATATGGTGAGAAGCCCAAAGGGGATGAGGTTTCAGACTGGAAGGGCTCCAATGTGTGTGGAATAATCCCATGGGAACCCCCACACCCTAAGTGGCCCAGGCACTGAGAGGGGGTGTACAAGACTCTTGGAGGCAGGACGCTCATGGTCGGTCGTGGTATGCATACCCCTTCCTGGGAGTGTCGCCACCAGTTTTACACAGCATCCTCCCAAACCCATGGCAACGACTCTGCCATTTCTAGAATCTCTTCAGGACTCCTTTTTTCCCCCACTCAAACTGTTCCCTTTGCTACCTTCAGGATCTTCCAGACTTCCACTGAGTGCTGGATGACCCGGCCTGCTTTGCCCCAGGGTTATGGCGGATGGCAGATTCTGCACCCAAGTTCTCCTAATGGAGGTGGAGGTAAAGCGTAGGGTGGGCCCAGGACCACCCAGAGTTCCACAGAACTGCATGGGCTGAAGGAGCCTCTCAGAGAGGAAACAGGAGCAGCAGATAGTCCAAAGGGGGTCTGCATCCCCTAAAAGAGGAAAAGCAAAAAGAATAATAGTGGCTGGCAGAATTCTGACCTGATGCCAGCAGACTCAAGGGGACAAAGGTGTTAGCCATCTTAGCCCAGGGCTGTGGGGAGACTAGCCCCACCTCAGAACAACAGGCAAGAGAGCTGAGTCTCAATGAAAGGCAGAGGGTCTTAAGACAGCTGATAGATACGCTAGGTCAGGATCTTATAGAGTGGGACTTCTGAGGTTCTGGATATGGATGAAGAGGGTATCAAGATAGGCTCAAGCTCAGAGAAGAAATCTTCAGGAGCCATAAAAGGATGGCTCTTCCTTTCCCAAGAACAGAACAATCACAGAGCCTGGCACATGATAAGTGCTCGATAAAGATGACCTATTCCTAACATATCTGTAGCGAAGCTGGCTTAGGAACTTCTGTGTACTATGTTCTCCTTAGGTAACACCTGACCAAAAAGTATTATCACTAAACAGTTGTGAGTTTCACCTCTGCAATGCCCTCTCAGAAAACCTGCCTGGTGCCCACCTCTGACCTTGATCCTGGGAGAGTGAAAATAAGGTCTAAGATGGGGACGGAGCTTATGCAACTCTGACCCAAGCAGATGTCTGGTGTGGTTCTTTTTACTCACTGATTTTTCTCTCCCTCAGTCCTGAGGGCCTGTGATCTGGTCCCTGTCAGAGCGGTCAAGGAGGGGACACTGGGGCTGACCCCTGCAGTATCAGACGTTTTTGCCTCAGTGAATGCCTCATGTGTAGTCTGGAAGTGCTGTGAGGATGGGACACTGGAGCTGACCAACTCCAACACTAAGTATGTTGGCAACAACATCAGCACCAAAGGTGTGGGCACGGATCGCTGTGAGGACATCACTCAAAACTACAAGTATCCTGAAGGTATTAGGCCGGGGAATGGCCGCAGGCTTCCTAGCCCCTGAAACAGCAAAAGAGGGCAAGGGGTCAGCCAGATAGATGCAGGCCACAGAAGGTTGTAGTCCTTTCCCCATCACAGAAAACAGGGTTTCTCCACTCCCTTTGACACAATTGACATTTTGGGTCAGGTAACTTGTGGGGATTGTGCATATTTAGCAGCATTCCTGGCCTCTATCCACTAGATGGCAGCACCCCCCCACACACACCGCTACTAGCTGTGACAACCAAAAATGTATCCAGACATTTCCAAATGTCCCCTGAGGGGAAAAATTGCCCCAATTGAGAACTACTGTTATAAAATAACACACTTAATATTAAGCTCGGGGTGGCTCCATAGTGTAGTGGTTAGCATGTCTGCTTTACACACAGAAGGTCCTGGGTTTGTGCCCCAGGTGGAGCCATGGACCATACCCCAGTCAGCCAGGCCCAGGGTGCACGCTGGGAGCATGTAGGAGGAAATGCCCCGCCCTCAGAGATCCAGTTCTTAAGGGGAAATGGCAACATCCATAGTTCAGGGGTGGAAGTGGTGGCGGGGGGCGGGGAGGGGGGGTTGGAATTAAAGAATGGGGAAAAAATATTAAGCTCAGTCGCCAGAAGATGTTCTCCCTTTTCCCCTTTTGTTGAACACCCACTAACCTGTTTCTCCCTCCACCTTAGTTAATGGCAACACCGTCCACCTATTTATCCAAATGAGAAGGCTTGCACTCTCCTTGATTCACCACGCCGCCCACGCCCCCACCCCTTGTCATCACCCCACATTACTCTCACATCTTCATCCACCTCTCCTTCCCCATTGCCTATAGGTAACCATTCAGTCGCCAGAAGATGTTCTCCCTTTTTCCCTTTTGTTGAACACCCACTAACCTGTTCCTCCCTCCACTTTAGTTAATGGCAACACCGTCCACGTATTTATCCAAATGAGAAGTCTTGCACTCTCCTTGATTCACCACACCGCCCACGCCCCTACCCCCGCCACCGTCATCACCCCACATTACTCTCACATCTTTATCCACCTCTCCTTCCCCATTGCCTATAGGTAACCCTGAGGCCTTGTCATCTCTTGTCTGCAGTATTCCAACAGCCTCCTAACTAGAAACTCCTGCTTCCAGTCTCTCCATCATTATTCCCTTTCCGACTTTCAGTTTCCATAATAAACTTTCTAAGACACAAATATAATTACGTTACTCCCCTGCTCCAGAAAACTCCATGGTCCCCGTTGCCCTTGGAATAATTCCAAACTCCTTTACTAAGGAAGATTCAAGTCCCTGCCAAACTGTCTTCAGAGACAGTGTGACTTCTCCAAAAGCTTGCTCTCCCAACTGTTCAAGGAACAAATTCATAGCACTTGTAAAAGAACTTGGTCCTTGAGTGACTTGGAAGGGACACGCTGTATCTGTGGTGGATCTGCCTAACACAGACCTTCGTGTTGTTGTTTCTCGCTAAATATGGCCTTAGAGGTTTGCAAAGCTCTTGTGACTTTGGCATTTGAGCAGCAGTGAATAAATGAATCTTAATCCTGGGCTTTTATTAAAAGGGTCTACCTGCTGGATAAGAGGCCTGTTTTATTCCTCCCATTCTTTAGGATCTCTTCAAGAAAAAGAGGTGCTGGAGAGAGTCCAGAAAGAGAGACTGGAACATAAGGAAGACAATGGCATCCATCCTCTCAGTCTTGAGACTACTGATCCTCTGTACCTATTCTTGGAAGCACCCAGTTTCCTACCCCTGAGAGGGGATGCTCAGTTCTCCATAACCTTATTTAACTCCTGTGACCAAGAAAAGGAAGTGCAGCTGATAATTGGTGTACAGGCGTTGTACTACAACGGAGTCCTTGCTGCTGAGCTCTGGAGGAACAAGCAGCAGCTTAGACTCGGTGCCAAACAGGGTAACTCTCTATGGCCTTGCCAGATGCCCACACACCCAGCTCCCACCCTGGGCAGACGGCAGGCATAGGGCTCCCCATGCGGGTCTGAATAGATGGCTTCTAGTTCCTGGTATTCTCTCAGTGTCTCTCTTTCCCCCGTCCCCATCTCTCTCTCAGTCTCTCTCTCTCTCGCTCTCTTTCTCTTTCTCTCTCTGTCTCTCTCTATGCCTATCTCGTATATTTATTGCGCTTCACACAGAAAAAAGAAAAACATTTCACAATTCTCATTGCAGTAAGATAAGTAAATGGATCATAGCAGCAGTGTAAGAAATGTTTAATAAGGTAAACAGAGTACAAGGGCAGGGGAGCATTGTATCCAGGTTGGAGCAGGCTGTCCCCCAAGTAGATCAGACTGCACTGGGTTTAAAAGGATGAGCAGGATAACAACTGACAGAAAAGTGATTCAGGGGCATTCCAGGCAGAAGGAACAAGTGCATAGGTTCCTCCTCCCCAAGATTCTTATTTAATTGGCCTGGGATAGGGTCCAGACACCGGTTTGTTTGTTTTTTTTTAAGCTCCTTATGTTATTCTAGGGTTGAAATTTTCTAGACAAGAGCAGTTGATCTCAAACTTTGCTGCAATTAAAATCATCTAGAGAAGTTTGATGCAAGCCTGCACCTCAGATGAATTAAATCAGAAATTACATGGTTGGAGCCAAACATCAAAAAATTTTTAATTCCTTGGGTGATTCCAGTGTGCAGGCAAGAGAGAATCAGTGGAATAGAGCTCATCTACATTATTGCAACAGCCTCCTAACTAACCCCCATCTGTCCCCAGTCTCTCCACCGTGTTCCCTAAAGAGGAAGGGAGGGAGACAGTGATGTGAGAGCCGGATGGGCCAGATCATGCAGAAGGTTGTATATCATGCTAAGCAGTTTGAGTTTTGTTCTCTGGAAAATGGGGAGCTGGTGAAAGTTTTTAACCAGAGAGTCGATATGATCAGAAATTCATCTTTAAAACAGAACTTTGGGCAGAATGGAATTGAAGGGGTCATATTAGAGTAATGGATCTCAACCTTGGCTGCACAATGAATCACCTGGGGACTTTAAAAATACCAATTCCTGGGCCTCACCGCCAAAATCTGATATAACTAATTTGGGGTATGGCCTGAGATTGGGATTGTTTTATAAAGTTCCCCTTTTGTGATTCTAATGTACATCCAATGCTGAAAACAACTGGTTTAGAAGTTGGCAGGTTTTGTGATAATCGAGTCAAGAAATGAAGGATAAGCTAGACTAGCAGCACTTCTAATGAAGACATATTAAGGAGGTTTTAGATCGTACTTGTGAATATGTCTATGTGTATATGTGTGTAGGGGGATGTTACTTGCAGTCTGAGTGAGCCTCTAGAATAGGGAAAATGGGGAAGAGAAGGTTTGGGGTAAAAGATGATGGGTTCTGTCTATGGCATGTTGGGTTTGAAAGCCCATGAGACATCCAAGCAGAGATGGCCAGTAGGTAGCTGGAAACCTAAACCTGGTATTCAAGATAAAGACCTGGGCTGGAGACCAGATGTGAGAATCCCAGCACAGAGTGGGTGGCCTAGAGTCATGGCACAGATGAGCTCACAGAGGTGGGAGGCCTGTGAGAAAATGAGGCAAGGAGGGAACCCAGGTAACACCAGCATATAGGGGGCAGTAGAGAACAAGCAGAGAGTAAGAGAAACTGAGAAGTCAAAGAGAGGAAGTGGGCACCAGCAAGGTGAGCAGAGAGGCTACGAGATGTCAAGGCTGAAAAGTGTCCATGGACAGAGTGGTTTTACCAAGAAGCAATGGCGAACGCCAGCTTCCTGGGAGTTAAATGGATTGAGAGTTGAGGAGGTGAGACGAGGTATGCAGTCTTTCCTAGAAGAATGAATGGAAAAAGGAGAGAGGCTGGGTGGTGGTCAGCCAGAGACACTGGATAGAGGAAGGCTGTTTTCTTTTATGATGAAAGAGAGCAAAATCTGCTTACTTGCTGAGGAAAGTAATCAGCAAAGAAGAAAAGACTGAAACCTCAGGAGAGATGGGTTATAATTGATGGTACAACCCTTGGGGAAATGAGAGGCAATAGAATATAGCTAACATTGACTGAGCACTTATTTGTGGCAAACATGGTATTGAGTGTTCTATGAGCATTGTCTCATTTATCCTTGCAACAACCTTATTAAGCAGGAGTCATTATTATCCCCACTTTATAGATGAGGAGACCAAGATGCAGAGAGGTTAAATAATTTTCCAACAGTTACACAGCTAGGCAGTGGTGGGGTCATGATGCGGCACATATTTAAAAAGCAGAGGACTTGACTCAGGCAGGGAGGCCACCTCATCCTTCGGATGGGACAGCAGGAGTAGATGTCTACGTCTGTAGGTTTGGAATGGGAGCATGAGATTGAGAGGATTCTTGAAGACTGAAAGGTGGTTTTATTTTCTCTGCAAAAGGAAAAAGAGAAGAAGCAGAGAATGGGAAGGAACTAACTCAGCATATGTTCAGCAATGACTGTGTGGGAGAGTCTGAGATAAACACTTCATTTGCAGTGTCTCATTTAACACAAGCCATCCCACCAGGCATTATTATTAGACAAGGAAATTGAAGCCAAGAGAGCTTAACATGTTCTAGTTCACAAGGACCGTTCCCCAACACCACTGAGATGGTCTGCCAAGAATGTTAAGGGAGGTGGTGATGGTGGTGAGGGGTAGGTTTTTGAGTGAGTTCAAATTTGAAATTGCAGTGAGGGATGAGGCATCTTCCTAGCTTCGGTGAGATCCTGACTCCTTTGCACTGTATATGCAACTATTGCTTGTTTCCGGGGCACATACACACTCAGTCCTTTGCACTGACTCCACCTGTCACGTTTCAGTTATCACCTGCAGCCTGTCCTCCTCCAATTTTGAGAAAAGCCCACCCGAGAACAGCTTCCTCAGACTCACGGCCATGGCAACACACTCGGAGTCTAGCCTTAGCTGCTTTGCTCAGGAAGACATCGCCATTTGTAGACCACACCTTGACATTGAGGTAGGCACCAGTCCTTCCCAGAACTGCTCTTGTTTGCTACTACTCAGGTCTCCGTTTCTGAAAAACTCGGAGCCCCTCACACTTCAGAGCAGGTGACTGTGCTGCAGAATTGCCAGAAAATCCTAAGTTGAGAGCTCTTTTTCTTGAAGGAGATGGTTTCTTACATGTGCTATTCAGGTTTAAATCTTCCAACTTCTTTAGTTGGTTAAGTAAGGGTTTCTAAAATCGGGCCCTTCCCAGTTGCTGCCTCCATACTTGTAGGGATAATAATAGCCTATGTTTATTTAGCACTTTATGCACAGGCAAATATATTTTTACCTCTTTTATTTCTTTTAATACAAAAACCCTGTGAGGTGGAACTGTTCCCATTCTTCAGATGAGGAAACAGTCCTAGAGAGCAACAAACCCAAGATCATGAAAATGGGACATTTTGGAGACTTGTGGCTCTTGGCCCAGTCCTCTTACCACATGTCTACCCTTGCCAAAATGACCGTGATTTGGTCCCAGCCCTCTAGGAGGTTGTGGATAAGGGAGACATATATTTGGTCTTCTGTGTAAATTCTTTAATAGAGGTACAGAGTTATATGGGATAGGTGAAGTAAAGGGGATTAATTTCATCTGGTGGGTTGAGGAAGAATTCATAGAGGAGGTGGCATTTATACTGGGCCTTGAAAAATGGGTAAGCTTTCAGTGCAGAGGTGGGGGAAGGCCAGTGCAGGCAGAAAACTGAACAAAGAGACCCAAAGTAAGGGAGCCTGAGGGGTGTGCTAGGGATGGGATTGTGGCTTGGATGTTGTTTAGTCACGGTAAGAACAGATGAGGGTGGAGCCAGACCATGAAGGGCTCTGAATGCCAACTGAAGCTGAATTCCAAAGACAATGAGAAATACTCCAAGGTCTCTAAGTGGAAGAGAGGCTCCATTGGAGATCGTCAGTGATGGATCGGGGGTGAGAATAAACACAGAAGACCAGGTAGAGGGGTAAAGAAGAGAGCTGTGGCATGTGGGTCAGGACGGCAGAGTTAAAGTAATTGAGGAGGGTATGGGGAGGCTACCCAGGAGGGGAAGGAGTGACTGCGGCTCTGTGCTCTTTGCTTCTGCTCCAGATTTTGCCTCTTCCCACAGATGCCGGAGACAGTAGAGCAATATCAACCTCTTACAGCTAAGATCAGCATCCTTAACTCCCTAGATGTTCCCATGACGGACTGTGTCATCTATATCCTCGGAAGGGGACTCATTCACAGAGAGAGGAGCTACAGGTAAGAAACCACAAGCTTCTCATCCCACTGACATCTCAACTGGTCAGAAAGGCAAGAACCTAAAATTAATGATTGTCCTTTTGCTGTGTCCATAGAGACAGAGCAAATGCGCCCTGAAGTAGGGGGTTAGGGCCTCTCTCATCCTGAGGCCACCATGTGTAGCCGGAGAACGAGAGTGAGGAAGGTTGTGTGCTCTTTGGGAACCCACCTGACCCTGGTTGCTGCCCTGATCATGTAGGAAGAGCCTGGGTATTGCTGGTGAATGCAGGTGAGGGCGTTAGGGCTAGGTACTAGAGAATATCACAGGGAGGGCAGGCTGCCTCTCGAAAGCTGCATTCTACTAATGCTCACCACAATATTGAATTTTATTTGAATATTCTTTTATTCCTATTCCCATTCCTACCACCCTTCATATCCTTTTGTTAGTATGTGAAAGTGTACCGTTGCTTCACAAGCCTGTATTTTTAATTTACATAATGTTATGTCTAATTCTTTTTCTTTTCACTCAGATGTTAAGATTCATCCACATATATCAAGTCCATTGTTTCTGCTACATAATACTCCACTGTGCACATCCCCTACTTCCTATCACTTTGTTTCAAAGTGATGAGCTCAGAGTGCCTCCAGTTCTCGGACACCACAAATACTGTTGCACTGAACAGCCCCATATATGTCCCCTTACATATTTGTTTGAAACTTTGGTGAGGAAGGGAGGGATATATGGCCAGGAATGGAATTGCTGTCATAGGCTATGACCTGGTTTGTAGAATGGCTGCAGGAGTCTGCATTCCCTCCAGCAGTGCATGAGTTTCTATATTCTTACTATTCCTCCACTTTTGGCAATACTCAGCTTTTTTTTCCCATTGTAATAGAAATAAGGTAATATCTCATTGCTTTAATTTGTAACTCTTCATATGTTTATTAGCCTTTTCCATTTCATCCTCTGTAAAGTTCTTTGCCCACTTTTCTTTTGGTGTTCCTGCTTTTTTTCCTTGTTGATTTGTAGGAGTTCCCTGTATAGTCTAGATTATTAGTCCCTTGTTGGTTTTAGATATTGAAAGTTATCTTCTTTCATTACCTCCCCTCTCATTATGTCCACTGCATCCTTCACTGAACACACAGTGTACAGTTTAGACTTCACAATGACTAATACTACCATCCCTCCCCTACAGGTTGTCTAGTTATTGACCCACTGCCTCAGCCTCATGAAATTCAAGGAGTCATTCTTGCCAATAAGATGAAAGGAGGGACTGCCAACATTTAACCAGACTTTTGTGGTCTCCCAGATCAATTATAGGGCAAAGCTCCTCTAAGGAAGTCTGCATCATTTCCTCAGTCACTATAAGAAGGTCAACAGGCAGGCCACAAGGCTGCAGATAGGCTCCAAACACCACCTGCTGACATACTGACATCTCAATATGCCTGCCATACCCACTGCATTTAGCAATCTGAGGGTTCTAGAACTACAGCTTTTCCAAACATACCCCAATACTGTTACCAAGAGTGGGACCAGATTAAACCCACAGGTGATAAAAGAAACAGATGCAACTTGGAAGCCCTTAGAATAGGATTTCTCTTCTCACCCATGCAATTGCTCACCATAGGGAGGTTCCTGTCTTCTATCACCTAAAAACCTGTTTCAACAGCAAGGTACTTAGATGTTTATTTCATCATGGTCCACCTCTTCAAGTTGAGAATGATCAGAGGCACTGGGACCAGCAAAGCAATGAACTTGTGACAGAACTAGCACCTTCCTTTTCCTTTATTTCAGAGTCGGTCCTGTGCGGCCTGGAAACAGCCTTTGTACCCAATTCCACTTGACGCCAACAAAGGTGGGGCCCCAGCGGCTCATTGTGGAAATGGACTGCAGTGTGTTCCAGAACCTAACCAACTCCAGAAGTGTCTATGTGGCAGCCCCTTACCTTGCAGCTTAAACTTCCAGCTGTAGCGTCATATGTCCCAAACATCCCCCTGAATCTACGATCTAAAACCAAATGTGCTGGGAAGGGAGACTTTGCTTATCAGACAAATGAATCTATTCAGGGCGAGCAGAAGAGTGACCAAGAACAAAACTAGATTCCCAGAAATCAACATAAAGACAATCATTTCTGTCACCTTAGCTTAAGGCAGTCCTGAAGACTAGTTTGTCTTAGAATAGAAACTACTGGGCTTGAGTGATAAAAGGAAGCCTTTGAAAAGATACTCAGATAAGTACATTGATTTTTCTGGTTCAGGATTTTTCATAACCATTTTACTGCTCACATTCATTAACTTGCAGGTAAGGAAAAGAAACTAACATTTAAATCATTTTTATATTTCTGACAAAGTGGGACAATATTAGCTCAAAATAGAATTTTTAGGTAATCCTAAATTACATTGATCAGTGCTATCCCTGACCATAGTCCTTAAAGACCCAAAGATGACTGAACAAAGTTATAAAATATACAACACAGGACCTGATCTTGTAGATTCAGCTATAGTTTTTATGAGAGTTCTAGATTATGAAGTCACAATTAAAGTCTGATGTTAATAACATAAATTTGGTCTAGTAGAGAAATATGAAAATTATTAAGTATACAGAAAATAGGCCCTATAAGAAAAAATAAAAGAACTGGACTTCTTTTGTACAAAGTTATTATTTTTTTGGTTACATTATTTTGTTGCTTTGGAGCTGTTTGATTTTAGTTCTTTCTCTTTATGACAGTTGTTAAAAATAACAGAATAGCACTTTATAAAGGTAAATTAAAACTCTTCACTTAGAAATTTCAGCCCCAAGTATACATTAGTTGCTCAAAATAATGGCTGCTGTTGATGATTCTACCTAAGAGATAGACCATGGGGACATCAGAAGGGCAGATGTGATGAATCACACCTACACAAAAAAAAAGGACTGGCATTAGAGGTTATGGAGACCTACAGTCCATATACAGGGCCCACGTCAGGTCACCAGAATATACATCACTATAGGTTTACCTTGCTTCCAATATATGATCTTCCAGACTGATGCAAAAATATAATTAAGTGGCAATGCTTTTGCAAAAGGATTAACTGAGGAAGCCCTTAAAGTTATATAAATTCTCTTATACATTTAAAATGTTTTGATTTATAAAAATTTTGTTATTTATATTTGGAAGCACATGTAATATGTAACAGAGAACACAATACAGGTATGTATAAAAAAAACAAATCTGGTTCAATAAAGTGAACAAACCTTACAGCTGAGCTCAATACCACAAAATAATTTTAGAGGCATGGAGTGACCTGGAATAATATTCAGGACTTAATGATAAGAATAATATTATATGACATTCTCAAGTACTAAGAGGGGCTTTGGAGTTATTTTCCCTAAATAAATTAAAGTCAAGTGTTTTGTTCTAAATATACTTCTGGGAGAGCTTCCCTTGCCACCACCAACATGGAGACTTTGTATCGAGTCCTGTTCTTGGTGCTAATGCCCCAACCTGAAGCTGAAGAAGCCCTCTTCGGTGCACATGCCCTCGGCCATGATGGTGTGCGCTCTGATGGTGGTGGTGTCTTACTTCCTCATCAGTGGAGGAATAATTTATGATGTTATTGTTGAACCTCCAAGCATTGGCTCTATGACCGAGAATCATGGGCATCAGAGACTAGTAGCTTTCTTGGCCTGCAGGGGCTATCTGATGGGTTAGAGTATCTTTTGAGAAGAAATCTGTGGATACTGGATTTGCTCCTGTTAATGAAGTTTTAAAGGCTGTACCAGTCCTCCAATGTGAAATATGGAAAAGGATGAAAAGTAGCAGAAAAGATGCCTTAGTAGAAAATGTGGGAAGCATGTTAAAGCTTGGACTAGAATATCTTCTTAATATCAAAAAAAAAATCAAAGAGATTATCACAGTATTATTTTCCTGCTTACCTATACTGACATACCAATGTTAAGTGGCATTTTCTTCTCCGTTTTTCAGTTCTTAAAGAAAATATACTCCATTTCTACAACTATAATATTGAATAGAGTGATTTTTTTCTACAATCCCATTAACATTTTTTGGAGATGACATTTCTGACTTTCAGAAATTAATATAAAATCAGGAAGCAAGATCTTGTAAGCTGAGAACTCTGGACAGCTGATAAGCTTTACCTATGGTGCTTTGCCTTTAAATAGAGTGTGATAGTATATTATTTCAGATATGTATGTAAGACTGTTTCCTGAACAATAAGGTGAATGAAAGGAGAAGAAATAAATAATTATCTAATTAATACCTCTAAAAATAAATAAAATAAAATGAAATAAATATACTTCTGATCAGAATCAGATCTTTAGATCTATAAAACCAAATGAAAGCAATGTTCTAATCTCAACTCGTTTTTCTGGTAGAAAGACACACCAGAAGAGTACTCATTTACCCCTGGCAGGTTAGCATATTATTGAGACTATTAACATCTTTAATAATGAAACAACACACTTTATTGCAAATACAGGGAATAAGGCAGCTTCCCCAGGAATCTCTGAAAGATGATTCAGGAAAACAAATTCATGCTATTTTGTACCTAATGCAGAAAAATATATCATACTCTTATGGTTTATAAATAATTGCCAGTCTGGCCTGGCCAACAATTTTGGTAATAGTATCTCTTAAATAAATATAGACAGGAACTTCCTTTCAATCCAGAACGTATTCTAGCCTCATTTTAAAAGCAGACATCAGTGCTCGCTTTGGCAGCACATATACTAAAAGCAGACATCAGAGCCTGGCTGTGACTAAAAGAAAGGGAGAGGGGAGAAGATAAATGAGCCTGAAAACTCATAATTCAAGTTCATTCTGAGTGAGTTCCTTGATTCTGTTCATGCAATGATCAATGGCATTAATGAGTAAAGGGATCCAACTATCTTCTGGCTGTGGGGTCACATGACTTGCTCTGTGAATGGAATGGGAAGAAAGAGAAATTAAATTTATTTTACTATCAAGGGAAAACCTATCCTCAGCAGGGAGCACAGAGGAAACTATAGTAAGAAAAGGCAAGTTTCTTTGCAGAAACTCAACTGCTCCAGTTGAAAGTTGAAAGAAAACACCACACCCACTCCTTGAAATGGAGTCTGGGTATTGAGAATGGCTGGATAGGTTTATTCTCAAAAAGCTATTTGGGGAGAAGTCCTCATACTCACTTTGTAATTTCAAGCGCCTTCTTTAGAACAGACACAAGTTTTGCAGACTGGAAAAGAAACAAAGAAGTTCTATTATTATGGTAAGGGCTCATCCTGATTATGGATTCTTTTCTATTTAGCAAAACTTTATTAATACTGCTGCTGTAACACTTTAATACATTTTTCAAGTTTTTAAATATTTTTCAATTAAAAAAAAAAAAAAAACAGCCAAAGAAAGACTATAACCTGAATTTGTCCCAACCACTGATAGGTCAGACTACATAGTAGAAACAACTAATGTTTCTCTTTTAAAAAGTCTATGTACAGAATTTTAAGAACACCAATGACAAGATAACATGAGAATGTATGTGTGCCACCAATATATAGTATATATTTAAAATTTTTGTTTGGAGATAATTGACAAGGCATATTGCTAAAGATGTTTATTTCTTAGGAAGTCAATTTTTAAAAAGTGAATACAAATAAAAAAGTTAATGCCCAAAAGGATTCTACTTCAAGGTATTTGCACATTGTGAAGATACATTTGATGAATCTAATTTCCACTATCTGATTTATCAAATACTATTAAGATTGAAACACTGATTATAAAATGTAAGCCATTTGACAGTTTTACTTCTCCTCCCAATAACATTACAGATAAGAATTTGAGTTTATAAAAATGAGAGAATAGAACTCTCTCTAGCATAGGACCTAGAACTTGAATGAATACAACAATATCAGACTTTTATAAAGAGCTTGACCTTCCATGGTCAAATCATACAACATGTTTCTATTAGAACAGAGCACGTTTCTGGAATATTTATTTCGGCCTACAGTAGAAAATAGAAGTGTGTGACTTCAGGTTGAGAGGATCCAAAAGCACTGCGGTGATTAAGACTTTCCTTTCAAAGCAGCATTTTCCAAGGCCTTTGGGTTTTTCTAAATGATTACCCAAGTCATTATAAAAGAATACTATCAGACCTCATACTTATAATAATTCAACTTCAGCAAATATTTATCAAGCACAAACAAAAGTAAAAACTGTGACATTGCTGTTGTACTTATATCCAAGTGTAACAACTAATTGTATTCCCTATAACTTAAAGGAAATACTTTAGTATTTAGTATAGTGAAATTCTACCAATTAGGTTTACCAGTGTAGGTACTTACACTGATTCGCACAGTCAGGTGGCACACAGGTGGATATATACTCAGAGCCAAGTCATCCACACTAAAAGCAGAAAGCAAAAGTAATCTTTAATGAAAGAAGAAACAATGCTCAGCTAGGTGGTTTTCATTACACAACCAAGGCTGCAACTAGTAGGAAAATGACTGTCCCAGAAATGCCTATCAGTTCATTAAATTAGGCAACCAATAAAGAATCAATTCAATGGATATTTACTCAATACATATACACCCTATTTCACTAGGAAGCTGGGGGGGAAAAAATCCCTTGGACTGTAGGATGGGACATGATTAACTCAGTTAAAAATGTAAGGATCTGAAAGTATCAATTTAATAACTAATATAGGTGAAGTTCATCTATAGAATGCCACTAACATGAGCACCACTTTAACAAAGTGATCAAATTTAGTACCACCAATAATGAGACAAACTAAGATCATAGGTGACACAATGAGAAGCGCAAAACAACTATGTGATATTTTAGCCAAACAATGTTTAACCTGAATATACTCCATAATCATGCTCATGACTCCAGATTATTAGTCTATAAGACAACTGACCTGGATTTTTTAAATGTCAACATCAAAAAAAAAAAAAAGACTAAAAAGGACAAGGACTATTCTAGTTGCAAAAAAGCTAAAGAGATGACAACCAAATACAATGACACCCTAACGGAGCCCTGGATTAAAGAAAAAAAAAGAAAAAAAAAAATGAAAAAGCTGTGAGAGATATTTTAGAAACACCTGGAGAAATCTGAACCATAGATAATATTATATTAAATATTAAATTTCTTAGATGTAATAGTAAGAAATAGGGGTGAAATGTCATTGATGTCTGCAACTTACTCCCGAATGGTTTAGGGGAAAAAATGGCACATCTATCTGTAGCGAAATAAACCAATATAGAAAATAATGTGAACAAGAAGTGAATCTAGATGAAGGATGTGTGAGTGTTTGCTGTAATACTTTTTCAACTTTCTTGTAGGTTTGAAAATTTTTACAATAAAAAACTGGGAGAAAAACCTTGGGTGACAGCACAAGCTGAGATCAAAATGCTGCTGCTCAGACATTTCAAGCTGGGCTCACACTTACCTAGGGCTGATCTCATCAGAAATATCCACAATGTCATCCAGCTGGGCCACCAGATCCTTCTTCCCATTCTCTGCCACTGAGATCCGAATTTTCTTCAGGCAGGCTTTGGATGCTCTTACCAGTGCAAGGCATGGGATTATGAGCTCCTGATCTTCCTCTGACCAATATAAATCCTGATTGTTTGGACATCCTAAAATATCACCCTCTTCAACACTGTGGTTGTCAGAGTTGTCCTCCTCATTGTCATTCAAGAGGCCACAATAAGGGTCACATTCTTCCACAGCCTAAGACATAACATGATTTATATGAATGCCAAAAAATAAATAGTGCCTATTTGTACATTCCGCATCATGTCTGAGTTGTCCCAAAACCTCAGTCAGCTACTTCACTAATGGCTAGAGTTGGATCACTTCATAAACTCTCTCACTCTCCTAGTCCAACAATGAAACAGAGGGGAGTGATACTAAATCACACACTGGCATAGGGTGGGAGGTAGGAAACAGGAGTGAGGATGGGATCTATTTGGTCAATGCTTAGGATATCTCTTTTTATAACCAATTCTCATCTACTAGCCAGAGTTGCCTTCCAATGGCCAGCAAAGACAGAGGTCCTCTTACTTGTTCCATTTCCTCATGTGCATCCTTCACTAAATCCACACTCTTTGTCAGCATTAAAAGGGCTGCAGCTTTGTTGTCTGTGAATGAAAAATCAGAAGCACTACAATTAGAGGAGAAACTCAACAAGTCTCTTAAGTCCGCAAAGGGCAACCAACAAGTTTCCCATTCGAAGGGAGTGCCAAAGACAGACAACAATGGTGGCGGTTTAAAGTAAAATTCTAATACACATCCTCTGGGTACCCAGACAGAGGGTTTAAAAGCTTTTCATCATTCACCACAAGAAGTAAAATGGTCACATGGTTTCTCATCATGGTCCTCTTGGATGACCACTGCTTTTAGCCTAGCTAGCTCTACCTCATAACTGCTTCAGTGTGTCCCATAATACTGCTCCTGGGGCAGGACCAAGAGAACAAATCACATTTGTTCAACAAGAGACAGAGCCACAGCAAGAGGGGAGTTAGAATTTAGAAGCATGAGAACTAAAAAGACTAGCAGAAAGTATTAATACTTATTTTTTGATGCTGGTGATAAACTATATTTATTCCATTGAACTCTTCATATAAGTTAAAATACATACATGGTACAAAACTGGAAGCTATTATGAGAGGTCTGTCTGCTTTGGCCAGTAGAGTCTATGGCCCACTTCCCATTCTTACCCACCTCTTGGTATCTGAGGCACCTGCTGGCACGCAACCCAGACATTGTTACAGGAAATGAGGTCACTGTTCTCAGGGCTGAGGAAAAGAATCAATAGGATATATAAATAATCTAGGTTTGTGTCTCCTAAAAAGATCTTTCCTCCTGGTCATTTTTATGTTACTAGTAACTCTGCTGTTGAAATGAGTTTTTTCCTTCCCTAAAACAAGCAAATCCATTAACTGATAACCCAACTGTGGCATCACTACCTCTGAGCTGGATTGATGTAAAGCACTTCCACAAGCTGAGCCATGCCATCCACGATGTCCACAGTGGCGCTCCGAACCAGCTTTCTCAGGGTGATTCCTGTAGCCAAACCCAAAGACAAAGCAGCCTGGTCTCCTTTTCAAAAGTCACCAACTGCTCTCCTGAGAGTCTAAGCACTACAGAACTTGAGGTAATGTGCACTCACATGCTTTAACTGGAGTGCCAACACGAGACACAGGTCTGACTAATGTACCCTTGTCATTTTCTTGTACCTCCCATCATTCCTTGAGTGCTTTTCTCCAAAAGAGATCCGGAACAAAATCTTTCCATGACAGCATATATTCATTAATTAAGGACAATGGTCCCTTGACACTTGTGCATAAAACACCTAAAGTTTAAACCATTTGCGAGTAACCTTGAAGATCTTTGAGACATGTATTCATTTATAATTCTAGCATGATTATAATCAAGGCGTAGATCTACAGGCAGGGCTGAAGGCCACTTAACCTATAAGGGAGCTCCAAAACATGGTGTAACATAATATGGGTGGAGACTGAGGATGGCCTGGGCCTGTCTAGGCTGAGATCCGGCCAGCATCTCTGGTGGTTATAATGGGTTAAAGAGGGAGGAGCCAATGAGAATTAAAAACTTAGAATCAGACAAGAGTCAGGCAAGACAGGAGAAATGGGAACATAGCCCCTGTACCTAAAGTCTTATTGATGGAGGTTACTTACATTATAAAATTATCTTTGCATTTTATGGGAGAAGTTACATATGCTCAAACTGAGGAAAAGGTAAAAGTCTCAGGACAAATCTGTCCTATTAGCAGAGATCTACCCTATAAAACTGAATGCTTATGTGTACATAGTGGCTTACCCTGATCCTTGGGAAGTGAATAGTATATTGCAATAATTGCTTTGATGGCAGCACGGACTTGTTCACAGAACCTCTGGGTTTCCTGAGGTGATGGACCAATTTCAGAATGAAAAAAAGGAAATGGGGATTAGATCAATGTGGTCAACGCTTCCATTGTGCAAGAAAGTAGACATCTGTAAGGCATTATCGAATACTTTCTGAAGTCCTATTATGAGTTAGGCCTTGTGCTGTTCTCACCACATAACAGAGAGGAGTTAACTGGATACCAGGTACTGAACTGATAACTCAATAAAGCATTAAGAAGTAGCTAAAAAAAAATTATTATTGATATCTGCTGTGAAATATTCATTCTATCTTAGATCAGGAGTTGGCGAACTATGGCCCACGGGCCAAATCAGGCACACTGCCAGTTTTGTACATAGTGTTACTGGGACACAGCCACACTCCACTCTTTCATTTATATATTATCTATAGTTGTGTTTACACTACAAGAGCAGAGTTGAGTAGCTGGCCTACAAAACCCAAAATATTTACTATCTGGCCCTTTACAGAAAAAGTTTGCCAATTCTATTTTAGACCATTAACAAGGTATCTTTCTAACAGCTTCACAATATACCTAAAGATAATTAGTATGGACTCTACAATGCTCAATGTTGATTATTTTCCTTCTAAGCAGTCACTGGCTTTCTCTTATTTCCTTGTCCTTGCTTCGCTGCTAAATTCTAAGCCAGTTCTACGTAAAATGTGATCTACAGATTGGCGCTACTCCATAAACTATTTGTTACCAGTCTGGGGTAAATAAGTAAAGTAATTGAGAGTGCTTAGAAATTTTTATGGCAATTTGACATTGCTTGAACAACCACAGAATTTTATAAAATATTAGTCCATATGGAAATGGAATTAAAAATAAAACCATTCTTCTGTAAGAGTAACATGCTGAGATTCTAAGAAAGCAATTGTGATTTAAATAAAACCAAATTCTGAAACCATTGACCTGAGCATGTATAGAAAATAGTCCTGTGGCATCCTCACAGTATCTTACTAACTGTGAATTTTAGCAGCAAGTCCTAAGTGTATTTGAAAGAAAGGAGTTGACAGATAAGAAAAATAAGGTACTATTACTACCTCTTTTGAAATAAATACTGACTTTCTTCTACAAAGCTTTTAAAGTGCTCTCACACAATTCATCTCTTATTTGCTCATCTCTGAATTATGTAAGGGGAGAGAGTTTATCATTGTAGGAGCAGCAAAAGAATATTTTTCCATTTCAAACCATCTGGACATATAAATTGAGAAAGAATAAACTGTTGACTATGAAAATCAAATAGGGCGATAAGTATGCCATTTTAAAATAATCTTATCCCAAATTAAGTATACCTACCTCTAGAAAAATTGGACATAAGGCATAGGGCATACCTGGTTTCCGCTGCCATGTTTAGTTTCATTAGTTTTATAATAAAGGGTTATTAAAAATGCATAAATTTTTGTTCTAGCAATTCCACTTCCTGGAATTTTTTTTTACTAATATACACAAAGATTGTGCTAGACAATTTACCACAGCACTGTTTATAATAGTTGCCAATTCTATTTTAGACCATTAACAAGGTATCTTTCTAACAGCTTCACAATATACCTAAAGATAATTAGTATGGACTCTACAATGCTCAATGTTGATTATTTTCCTTCTAAGCAGTCACTGGCTTTCTCTTATTTCCTTGTCCTTGCTTCGCTGCTAAATTCTAAGCCAGTTCTACGTAAAATGTGATCTACAGATTGGCGCTACTCCATAAACTATTTGTTACCAGTCTGGGGTAAATAAGTAAAGTAATTGAGAGTGCTTAGAAATTTTTATGGCAATTTGACATTGCTTGAACAACCACAGAATTTTATAAAATATTAGTCCATATGGAAATGGAATTAAAAATAAAACCATTCTTCTGTAAGAGTAACATGCTGAGATTCTAAGAAAGCAATTGTGATTTAAATAAAACCAAATTCTGAAACCATTGACCTGAGCATGTATAGAAAATAGTCCTGTGGCATCCTCACAGTATCTTACTAACTGTGAATTTTAGCAGCAAGTCCTAAGTGTATTTGAAAGAAAGGAGTTGACAGATAAGAAAAATAAGGTACTATTACTACCTCTTTTGAAATAAATACTGACTTTCTTCTACAAAGCTTTTAAAGTGCTCTCACACAATTCATCTCTTATTTGCTCATCTCTGAATTATGTAAGGGGAGAGAGTTTATCATTGTAGGAGCAGCAAAAGAATATTTTTCCATTTCAAACCATCTGGACATATAAATTGAGAAAGAATAAACTGTTGACTATGAAAATCAAATAAGGCGATAAGTATGCCATTTTAAAATAATCTTATCCCAAATTAAGTATACCTACCTCTAGAAAAATTGGACATAAGGCATAGGGCATACCTGGTTTCCGCTGCCATGTTTAGTTTCATTAGTTTTATAATAAAGGGTTATTAAAAATGCATAAATTTTTGTTCTAGCAATTCCACTTCCTGGAATTTTTTTTTACTAATATACACAAAGATTGTGCTAGACAATTTACCACAGCACTGTTTATAATAGCTGCAAGTTGGAAACAGCTTAAATGTACACATAGAGTATTGGTTAAATAAATTATGGTTAAATGCACTGAATGCCATGTACTTTACTGAATACCATTACAAAGAAGTGAACTTTATGTGTGCTGCTGAGAATCAATTTGCAAGCTATATCGTTAATTTTTTTTAAAAGGCCCAGAAAAGTGTTTATGGTATCCTATCATTTATGTAAAAAGAAGCAATCGTATACACATAAGTGTGCATATGCTTAGAATAGATATGAATAATTCAAAAGGAACTGGGGAGGAAAGAAATTTAGCACACTTAACTTTGATCTTTTAAATTTTATAATGTATACGTTGTTCTTGAGTAAATATAAAAATAATTCAATATAAAAAGGGTATTATGTAGTATAACAATAAAAAGTATAGGTTTAAACATCACATAGGCCTTAATTTAAATCTTAACTCCATTGCTTATTACCTTAACCTGAGCTTCTGAGCCTGCTTACTTATCTGTCAGATGGGGATCATATATGTGAAAACAAATAGCAAGTGTTTTAAAAAATTATCAGAAAGAAAATAACCAGGATAAACTTCAAATTGAACCAATACTATTTAGAGGACCCACCTACTCCATGCCTGGTACTGCACCTGGCAATGTGGTTTTCACAACAAACCTGTGGGGTAAGAACTGCAACCTTATTTGACAGAAGAAAAAAATCCCCTGGCTTGAGTGTAAAAAGTGGAAAGAAAACGAGAGGATTCCTAAGGAATAACGAGGCAGCACAAGGATTCCAGGAAAGTAAAGCCTACCTGTGAGGACGGCAGTGGCAGTGGAAGTCGAGAGAAGACTTCGGTCAGAGTCGTGGCTTCCCTTGACACTTTCACAGCTGCCTCATCTTGGGGATGGGAGGAGGGATGACAAAGGAGGAGGTATGAGCCAGTGTTAGTCCCAATGGCATAAGGCTGCAGCTGCGGCACCGACTTCAAAAACAACGCATTCCCTCTCCACCTTTAACCGCTGAGACGTCTCAAAAACATCTCCAAAAAATCAATGGTTTATATTTCTACCTCTGAGGTACCGAGTTTGGGTATAATGAGGTACCTCCGCAGATAGGATGCGGCGGGGAAAAGCGAGAGGTAAAGGGGTCTCCCTTTCTGGGAGAAGAGAGATGGGAGTCCCTAACAGGAGAGGCACTCACTGAGTCTTCTCCAAAACGTCTCCCGATTGAACTCTTTGGTGGTCTCCTGGGCTTCGCCAACTGGGTGGGTGTGGAGTGTGGGCCGGGCGGTGGCAAAAAGGAAGAGGAGAAGTAAGCAGAGTCACCTCCGGTCCCCACCTCCTCAACCCGGGCCGCGTCCCTGCCGCCGCCAGTCTACCCCCTCTTCCCCACCCAAGTCTGTTCCTACGGTCGTCCGTCCCAATTGCGTCAGCTCACCCCGCACTTCTAGCAAGAGCAACCGCAGCTCCCCTGCTAAGTGCTGAAGCTGCTCCAAAGGCGGAGCCAGGGGGGCGACTGCGGGTACAGGTGCAGCTGCGCTCGCCATCTCAGTAGAGTGACTAGGGTTTGCAGAGAAAAGCCGACACGGCCGCAGCCGGAGCCGCACTGCGGGGACCGATTCACTTCCGGACACCGCTTCACTTCCGGGCGTCACAGACTCGGTTTAGTTTCCGGCAACAACCTGCCTGGCCCCGCCCTAGAGACCCGGCCACGCCTCCTCCACTGCCCCAGGACCGGCAGCATACGCGAGGGCCTGTCCAAGTAATTTCTTATTCATCATTCATTTATTTGATTGGTTAAAAACATCCCCAACTAAGGAATCAGGAAAAAGGGACTGGGAGCTAACAGCGCGAGGGTAATCAAGGTCAGGCCCAAGTTCACACTGGTTCCCTGCCGCTAAAGTGACACACTTGACGGCTGCTGAGTTCCAGACTGTGAAAGGTACACTTTACATGAGGTAATCCTAAAAAAAAACATTGGGCCTCAGATGCGCCCATACACACTGAGACCCTGTCCTGTGGATATAGATATGGGGCTTTCTCTTCACAAAAGCAAATCAACCCTTTGCCTTCTTGGGGAAGGAAGGAATCATGGCATTATTTAGAGATTTTTCTGCAGTTCACTCTGCAGGAATCAGTAGAGTAATCCCCCCAAATCCCAGGCATCCAAAGAGCAGCAGGTCCCTGAAGCTTGTCCACCAATATTGGCCTTCCACCTGCTGCTGGGTCAGAGACCTGGGCTTCAGAGGTAGATGGTGAGACCTGGCCTTCAGGAGCTCAGATGGCTTTTTAACTGTACTGTGAAGGTTCCAAGCTCATTGGAGTTCAGTGTCCACACGAAATAAATGAGAACAGGTGTCAGCAGTGTCAACCAGATCCTCAAAGGGGAGAAGAATAAAGCTATGGTGCCATATGTCATATGAAGAAAATAGCAGGAATAAATCTGCCAGAAGTACAGCAGTAACATAAGAAGGTGAACAGGTATAATTTTTAGGTATTTTCCTTGACGGAGATGAGACCTGAAGTTGTGACCAAAGCACCTCTGCAGCAAGCTCCAACACAGGTAAGCCATCAAGGGGATGTTAAAAAACGCCAGCTGGAAAGTAGAGTAGAACAGAACCATTAGCTTATTAGCAAGTCCTCAGAGGGGGCAGGGTAGTGTCTCACTAATACATTATTGGTGCTCCTAAGAATATGTTGCTTTCTCTCTTGGGGGTTAACTCTTTGATTCTTTATGTTTCAGTCACACTTGCTCATAACACTCACAACAGTTGACTTGCAGTTAGTTGTATGACTGCCTGTATCTTTCTGTTCATCTTAAAGGCAGGTATCATTTCATTTATGCTGAAGCCCTTGATGTTTAAGGTGGAAATGAACTGAATATATGTGTGTGTATACTTACACACGTACAACACACATACTTGTTTTTTTCTTGGCAGAGTGAGTGGGGACTTGGGTATCAATATTTTTTTCTTCTGTCTGTATTTTAATTTGAAGTAGCATAATGAGTACTGGAATACAAAAGATTTAATTTATAATCCAAATTTAGATGCTGTATCATTCATTCATCAACCTATGTGGCAAGCACTGTGTTATACTCTAAGCTTGGGACACACTGGTGAACAAGTCAGAAATGATGCATCATAGAGCTTATATTCTAACAGAGAAACTAAAAAAAAAACCAAAAACAACAATAAAAAAACATAATGACAGTTTGTGAGAAATTCGAAGAAGGAAATAACTGGGTCACGAGTATAATTTGGAGATGGGTTCTCTTAGGCCTGAAGGACAAGAATGAGTAAGTGAAAGGAAGTACATTCCAGGCAGAAGAATCATATCCAGAGGTGGGAGAGGTCTTGGCCTATTTGAGGCCTATGGGTCTGGACCATGGTGAGCCAAGGGGGAATTGGGGCAGTCAACAGGACCCAGATCATTCTCTGCTTACAAGGTTTTAAGCTGATAAATGAATGAGCTGATTAAGGTTTTAAAAGGACCACAGTGGATGCTCTGTGGCAAACTGACAGTGGGGAGGCAAAGGCAGCAAGTGGGGACCAGTTAGGGTGGTCATGTAGTAGCCCAGGTAAGAAATAATTATAACTTAGACTAGGGTAGTGGCAATAGAGATGGAGAGAAGTGGCGATTCAAGATATGTATTAGAAGTATTACTTGCTGATGAACTAGATACAGCATATGAGGGAAAGGGAAGAATTGAGGATACATCCTGAAGAAATAGGGTGAATTGTAGAGCCATTTATTAAAATTGCAAAAACTAAGGAGGAACAGATTTGGGGGTAGAAATTAAAGGTCCTGCAAGAGATAGACTATTAAGTTGATATGCCTGTTAGATATCTAAGGGAAGACAGGACAGTGGCGATATAGGTACTTGAAGTGTAGATAAGAGGTTTAGATCAGAGATACAGATTTGGGAGTCATGGGCCTAGATGATACATAAAATCCATTATTAATGTACTATTTATTCAAATATGAATATAAAGCCACCTTTGGTAAGGCTCAGGTTTTTAACAGGTATAAGAGTGCTTCTGAGAGACAAGCTCCATTCAAATAACAGAAAACTGAACTGGACCCAGGACTTAAGCAAAATGAAATGCTGCTATACAGAGAATGTTTCTAGCTAATGATCAGTGTTTGCAGAAGTCTTTCCTATTTGTTTACCTCTAATCCTGCTGATCATGTTTTATTGCCCTGTTATGAGGCTGTAAACTCATTTCGAATGATGCTTTTGGATCTCTTCTAAAACTCCAGGTCATCATCTCTAGATTTTGGTCCATTAGTCCCATTAGATGAATACCTTTCAACCCTATTTATAGAGATTTGCTACAGGTCAGGGTTTTGTTTGTGTGTTTGTTTGTTTTAAAGGAATTCCAATCCAAATGTAAACCCAATGTATCAGTGTTTCCCAAAGAAGTATACTAATAAGACATCACTAGAAAGCCAAAGTCTGGTTTTGCCCAGTGCAACTTCCACTAGAAAACTGATCCACTTTTCTTGTGTCTATTTTTCCTTTACTCCCTCTGAAATATTTTCCTTCTTCATTATCATAACCAATTTTGGTTTACTCAGAAGTCTATCATTTATTCTACCATAAGTCCTTTAATTTTTTTTGTCAATGAAAAGCACAGTAAAACAAACAAAAAACAAAACCTCTTTCACCTCTTCTAAATCCTGCCTGCCAAAAATGTATTTTAGATGTTTAAAAGAATAGTGGAAAAGAGAGCTTAGGAAGTACTCAAAAGGTAAATGAAACACCAGTTATTAAATACTACACTACCAATAAACTAGGAAACATGATCTATGGTGTTCAATTTGAGATTTTCGATTTAATTTATAAGTGTTATGCAATTAGTCCAACAAAGCCAAGATGCTCTTAAATTGCATTTCTGACTTCTTACCTGGAGAATTCCAACTATAAATGTTATACTGCCTTGTAGGAAATGCCCATCAACAAAGATCCCAAAGGAAAAGCAGCAACCCATTTTGCCTTTAGTAATTTCACCAATAAACCATGGTCCTGAAGAGGCAATGGAGAGGAAAGAATATTAAATAACTATGACTTTATCGTGAGATGCATTTACAGGAATAACGAAGAAATATGAGACTAAGCATCTGTAAGCATTTTATTTGCATAGCTTTTTTTCTTTACTGATCTCTATGTTGTACCCGATGTCCTAGCTAACCAACTATTTGAACTGTGCTCCACATTTATCTGGATCATAAAACCATTTGAGTACATGCTATACCTGGAATATTTATATAGCTTGTAGATTCCAGAAATATACTGGAATACATTCACAAATTTTAGGAGATTCTGTTGCAATAACCCAAATATAATGCATTAACATTTTCTTTAAGAAGCAGGAGGTATTCCTCAGTTAATTTTCCAGATAACTGATTTACTCCTTTAAGCTATAATGCACTTACAATGCACTTTTCTTTCTTATTAACAAATGTATTTTAACCTTTTCTTGCTGATCCATAGTCATTACTTTGTACATTATATACACAGGGTAAATGTATAGAGTTTAACTTGCTTCTTTATTTTTTCATCTATAATGCCAGAATGACTTTTCTCTCCTCACTACTATTATTTACTGCCTCTTCTCAGTATGCAGGTTTCTGAAATTACCTTATTGTCAAGAGTGATTAAGGGATAGTCAGACTTCCTTTCTTAAAATGCAAATAGCATCGTTTACTGGTAAGAGTAGAGTTCAGCTTTAGAAAGTGATAGGTAATTTTCTCAGATATATGTTATATGAACTCCGTTAGATACAAATTAGTCTAAAAAAGTGTATTCTCTTCAAGTTTCAGTTTTTAAAAATGGAGCAACTTCTGCCATGTTTTCTTTTACAGCCAGGAACCAAATCACTTGCTTTGCCTCCTAGTGTAAGACAAGTGTCTTAAACAGCTTCAACCTAGCTTCTGACAAGAAAACTGACCACCAAAGGGGAATGTGCCATAGCTTGTTACACAGTATTATAAAGTGTCATATTTTTCATTTTACTACTTTGTGTTCTCTGGTGAACACATGAGAAAATATGAGAAAAAAGTCCAAAGGTGGAATAAAAGTATAAAACAAAGATTAAGCAACATATAGCCTAACTGATGTTCAGTCATATGGTACATTAGTAAAAAGCTTTAGAGAGAGACCCACAGTGCCTTCTGCTGCCATAAGTGGCTAAGTGACTTTGTAAGGATTGGGTATAATAATTAATGTAACAGAAGAGCTCAGATCTGCCTAAAATCACTGCCTATCTCTGTTTCTCTCTTTTCTGAGCTGAGTTTTTAGGAGTTACACATTAGTAAATTATTCACTGAACCACATACTCGGCATTGTGCTTAGTGCTGAGCACAAAGGTGAATAAAATAGACATCAATGGATATTCTAATAAGGGGAGAGATGATCAACACAGAAGATAATCATAAATTCTGATAAAATAATGACAGAAATAAAATGCATGATGAAATAGGATAAAACTTTAAGGTAGTCAAAGAAGGCTGCTCTGAGGAGATGACAATTAAAGCCGAACTTCTATCTTCTATTAGGTTTCCATACAAATTCTGCAATGGTCTTCTCAGCATCCTTAAGTTTAACTATATGTCCTTTAAACATGTTAGGAAAGAACTTTATTTCCCAAGATCAATCCCAGGAAATGACTTATGAAGGAACCATATGCTATTTGTTATGTTCTCAAGAGCCTAAATGATTCATTTGCTAAAATTCTCATATTCTTTGGCAGAATTCTCCACAATCTCAAGTTTCCTAATTGACTTACCCAGCACTGTATATAGAGTCAGCAACAACACAAAATAGTAGAAGATATTTATTTTGCTCAAGACATGAAGGGAAAATGAGGTCAAATTTATAAATCCTGGAGGCCCTAAAGAGAATACATTTGAAAAATACAATGAACACATGCAAAATTCAATTTCTTTATACCATTTTCTAGAAGACATCCATGGGCTATTTACTATATATGCAACAAATTTTTTGTTATATAGTAACTATACAGATGACACCACTTTAAATTCATAAGTTGGCAGGAATCCTGATAAGCCAATTCACTTAAAATTGCAGAGGGTAGGAAGTTAATTTCATACAAAACCTGATAATGTATGACTTCTTACTTTGTGTGTTACATACGTGCTACTTATTACTCTCTTAGCTTCTTTCTTGTTTTAGCTTGGTACTTCTCAAAGTAGTAATCTACATATCCAACTATAATTTTTATTTATTGTAAAAAAAAAAATTGTTTAACCTTAGAGGCACCTATGCTTTAAACTTTAAGCAATGATTCTGTACTTTGGCTGCACATTTTAATAACCTGGGGGAACTTTTAGAAAATACTAATGCCCATGTCTGACCCTCCAGAGATTCTGATTTAATTGGGGTAAGAGATTCTGATTTAATTGGCCTAGGAAAAGGGAAACTTAGGCAAAACCCAAGTGATTCTAAGCAGCCAGGACTGGGAAATATAGCTTTAGATAGTGCCATGCTTCTCAGCCTTAACTGCACATTGGAACCATCTGGGAGCTTTAAAAAATACTGATGCTTAGGGTCCTACCCCTATAGAGATTCTGATGTAATTGGTACCCTGTAGACACTGAGGTTTTAAAAGTTCCCCCAGGGGATTCTAAGGTGTAGTCCAAGTTGAGAAGTGCTGTTTAAAGAAAAGAACTGACCTACAATTGGAAGACTTGGGTTTTGAGTCTCTCTGTCTCTTCTCAGCTATGAGACTTTGGACAAGTTATATAACCCCTAGTCCTTAGTTTCCTAATCTTTAAATTGGGAATAATAATACCTATCTCACAGGATGGTTATAGGGATTAAGTGAGATAACGCAGGTAAAAATATGTTATAAATTTTAAATGACTACACGAAGATATTGGTATCTCTACATAATGAAGTTTAGACCCTCCCTCAAACATTTATTTATTTATATAACGAGCAGAAAATATATGTGCACAATAATGTTTTTTGAACTTTTTCATAGAAGTTTTAAAAACATATCAGCAGAAAAACAGTAGGCTGTGTACACCACCTGTTCATTTAACCATTTTACTGTTTAATCATTACTACAGTACTCCCCTCCCCCACAATCAGTTCCTGATCCCAGAGATTTCACCCAAGCCAGAAAGGGATAAGGAAAATTTTATTCAATAAGAATTTGTTGTCTATTATGCACAACTCAGTGCTGGGTGCTGTAAGAAACGAACAAGGAGTAGAAAACAAGAGCCCCTATATTGAGGAACTTAAAATATAGTTAGGTTAAGGAGAAAATGTATGTACATTTGAAGTGGTTATGTAAAGCCAAATGATTGGCTAATTATGTATCAATTAATCATCAGGAAGGACGATAGGGATTCAGAGAAGGAAGAGCTCATTCTGACCTGGAATGGCTGGAAAAAATGGTATAGAAAAAGAGGGTTGGAGGTGAGCCATAAAGGAGACTAAAATTTGGATAAGTTTAGAAAAATAATTTAAATTAAATAATAGCCTGGGCAAAAGCACAGAAGCAGAAATGACCATGGTATATATAGGAAACAGTGAAAAATTATCTAGGCTGAACTTTAGGTAACTATATGGTTGAAGACATGGTTAGTTAGATAAGACCAGATTGTGGAAGATCTTTACTATTTGGCAGAGATGTTTGGTCATTTTGAGCTATAATGTGATTTCCCTCCCTCATTTTGGTTAAGCCTCATTTTACAGCCATGCAGCAGCAGAATATTGAGGTTTTGTTTGTTTGTTTGTTTGTTTAATATAGAGTACTGTGGAAAAAGTATTATAGTTTGAAGTATCCACCTCACAGAGCTCAAAGACAATTTATATTTATCACTTGGTAAGAGTGAGGACATTATGTGATACTTTAAAGTCTTCTAAGAATAAAAGGGCCAAGACTAACCTTTAAGCTCTAGATATCCTCGATGCCTAAAAGTTAGGAGAATGGAGAGCTGGATCAGCACAATCATCACAAAAAGGACCCGGGCCTGCAGAAAAATAGATGTTAATGTGAAACAAATACATGGGTACAGCTTCAGTTAAGGTTTTTAAAAATGGTCTCATTAACAAAAAAGGAAATGACATCATTAGCAGAAATTATTATATAAGAAAAATATATGGTCAAAGAAAATCAAACATCTGATACGCCAAAGAAGAAAATTTTAAGTTGCTTCAGTATTACTCTTTCAGAATTTGGATACTCAGACCAACGTTGAAACTAAGTAATTTTATACAGTTATATAAAATGATCAGATTAAAATAGTCCATTTTCATTGTACTGGAGAAGTATATATAATTTGTTTTGTTTTATTTAAAATGAGGTAAGAATAAAGAAAACAGTACACAGTACACCACAGGTGAGCGAACAGAGACTGCATTTTTTTTTTTTGCTTTCTCCATCAAGAAGTCATTCACTTGGAGGTTAACTCACAGTAAAGAGACATGTAATCTAGGTCCTTGTTTCTCAAAGTATGGTCCCCAGATCATCATTTATAAGAACATCAAAGTTTCCGAAGCCTGATCTAAGTGACTACTGAAAATCCCCAAAATAAAAATAAATGACACAAAAAAAATTTTAAAAATAGACAAATGTCTATTAGTTATATTTTTTAAAAGCTCATACAAGTAAAATAATAATCAATTCACATTTTAAGTCTGTGAGTATATATAGTAAAGCTACCTCTGGGAGATGAAATTAAAGGAGGTTTAAATTTTCTTCTTAGCATTGTAGTGTATATCTTTTGTATATTTTATGTCAGATAGGTGAGATGTGAGGAAAACAGTATAAATTGCTATAGCTTCTCTGGAAGACAATTTGACAACATATATTAAAAACTAAAAAAAAAAAAAAATACCCATTTATTTTTTCAAGAAATATTTATTGAGGGCCTATTCTCTGTTAGGCATACCAAAGATCTCTGCCCACACTGGGCTTATGTTTTACTGAGGCAGGCTAGACAAAAGCCAATGAATATAATAAATAATAAGGGATTTGTGCAATTATATAATTAATAAGTAAAATAAATAGAATAACATGCATATTCTTTCATCTAGCAATTCACTTCTAGGAATTTATCTCAAAAAAACTATATATGCAAAAACTTAGTTACAAAGCAGTATTTATATAGTAGAGGGAAAAACTAGAAACAAATGTCCAACAATAGGGAAGTGGTTTTATGTGTATTTATGCCAATATAATGTAGCCAATAAACATCATGTTATAAAATAATATAAACTGATGTGAGACAACAGTCACAACAAATTCCTCAGTGGAAAAAAATCAGACAACAAAAGAGAAAAGTGCGTTTATCATTTTGTATTAAAAACTCATATACACGTGTATATGAAAGAAAAATGGAGAATATCATAATGACAAATACAATGATTATAATGGGTAGTATGATAACATAATGATGTGGGGCTGATTTTACTTTATTTCTAAATTTTCCAAGTTTTCTACATTTAGTGTGTATTATTTATGTAGGAAGAAACAATATTTTTAAAAGATCCTTGATCATGAAACTAATTTATGTAAGTTAATTTTTAAAAAAAAAGAGCCTTAATCTAATTTAGCATAGTTCCTATAATTCCTTCAGTTATCATGGTTTTATGGCATTGATTAGAATCAGGTCTCCAAATAGTTATTAATTGTTCATGCCTTTACTTCTTTTAATTCAAATCAATATAAAAGCATTTTGTTCTTCAAGATGAATAACTAAACTTTTCACGTCATAAGGTTCGGCTTTCTCATCACATGATTATTACCACTTCAGATCTACCAAACCCAGTAAAAACACACATAACATTTAGTTGAATTTACTCACCACCATGCAGTGGTCAGTAAGAAGAATAAAAGATGCCAGAGGGTCAAATCTGAGATGAATATCCTCTTGAAGAGAAAATATGTGGTGAACACTCTTACTTCTTCCAGCAGAATCCTAGTTACAAGCACAGCAGAGGAGTAACTCCCTTGCTACTTTTTTTCCAATTTACTTTTGATTCTTCCTATAAGCGCTTTAAATGGAACTTTAAAACCTTATAATTCTAGATTTAAATTGGAAATATCACCATGTACTCACAATTAGTTTCTCTTTTAAAAATATGTATTTCCCTTTGTTCATTGAAAAAGCCTAGAAAAGGCAATACACAATAGCAATGAGCTAGCTGGGCCAGTGCCAATGGCCTCAAAATACCATTTCTCACTATAAGGAACCAGCATTCTTTAGAAGAATGGCTGATTCCACTTCTTCAGTAAGAAGTGCACAAGAAGAGCTTGTAATATCTTGTCATACCAGAAAGCAAGAAAAGTAACAGAGACTACTCAGATTGTATCAAAGGACTTAGTGGTCAACTTGGTAAAGCTCCCACTAGCCAAAGAGGGAAACATTTGAGCATCATAAACAATACATGAAATGGATTGAAATCTACCAAATATGTTTCCTTAAATGTTGAATTCATAATGATACTAAAAATAAAAGACTTGTTTGGTTACCTTTGGCAGATGCTAGAGAAAAATTCATTATTCTGAAAACTGGTTTAAAAAGGGGAGAGGACGGGAAGAATTAAGAATTTATCCTGCCTTTGCTATATGAACTCTATATCTGGGTACCAAATAGATGAGGAAAACGTTTTCTTTATGAGACCATTCTAATTAATACTCACATAATAAGGAGCAGCAATTTGAATATTGCCATTTTATAGCTCTAATGAAATAATAGATCTAGGCAAAGACCATCAATAGCTGCTAGAAATCCTTCAGTGAAAAGCTGATTGGGTACTTCATAATGAAGGGAGAGATAAGCCAGCAGTGTGTTAAAGCTGATTTGACTGACTCATAAAGGCCAATTGTTACATTTTCAGGAATTTTGCAGGCCAGTTGATGTTGTATTTGTAGCTTAAAACCAGATATGGTAGGACTATTTATACTATGAGCCTTGTCTGGATTCTGATTTGAACCAACCAAATGATATATGTATGTGTGTGTATATAGATACACATATATAAACATACATACATATATATATAATGTATATATGAAAATTGGGAAAACTGAATACTAGCTGGATAGTTTGATATTAAAGAATTACTGTTAATTTTTCAGGTATGGTATTTAGGTTACATTTTTTAAAATAGTCCTTATTTTTTAGTGATTCATACTGACAGATTTACATAAAAAATGACATCATGGAGCAGGAAAGAGAGAAGCAGATGGGGTATAGATGAAACAAGATTGGTCATGAATTGATAACTGTTGAAGTTGGGTGATTGATACATTATAGTATTATCTCTTTCACATATTTAAAAAATTTCCCATCATCAAAAAGTTTATTTATAGTGTAAAGAACTTGTACTGGTGTTTATCAAACTTTGATTGCACAGAATGTTCTTACTTTAAAGAATAAGTTCTTTTTTCAAGGCAGAGATTGTCTTTAATTTCAAAATTTGGAAATTTCTAGAGTCTTTAAATTGCCAAAATAGACACAACAATCTAAAATATTGGTTCTCAAACTTTAGTGCACATCAGAATCACTTAGACGGATTGTTAAAACAGATTGTTGGGTCCCATCTCCAGAGTTTCTGATTTACACGTTTGAGATGGGACCTGAGAGGCTGCATTTCTAAGAAATACCCAGGTGATGTTGATACTATTTCAGGAACCACACTGAAAATTGATCTAAAGGTCTAGTTGCTGCTAGGCTGCCCAGAACCTATAGATATTCAATAAATATAGTGAGTAGGTAAAATACAAGATAATAAATTGATGTTATCTCTCATAGATTTTTCTCTGACTTATCTATATAGTATAATGTATTTAAAAGGATGAAGTTTTCCCATTGATGAATGAGAGAACCAGGTTCCCTATTTAATATTCAGTAGACTAATTTTTTAAAGTTATACACATATAGACAGAAAATAGATCATTGGTTGCCTAGAAGTGAAAGTGGAAAGAATGCAGTTAAAAAAGAGCACAAGAAAACTTCTGAGGTTGATGTATCACGTTGAGTGTAGTAACAGTAACATAACAGGATGTATACGTATGTCAAAACACACCAAATTGTACTCTTTAAATAACATACCTCAATAATGTTGCAAGAAATGTTAAATATAAAAAAAGTACATGTGATTTCACAGTTTTACTAAGGATTCAACTAAGCAGCCAGAAATGTCTCAAGGAATGTGAATATAGTTTTTTCCTCATAAAACTACAGAAGCTGGGGCTCTGAAGCAATCCAAGGATTTGAGGGTTCCCATTCCTAAAGTGAGATCTCCAATGGTTGTTCCTACTTCTTCCCCATAACTATAAAGATAGAGAATATTTCAGAAAGAAATTAAGAGTTTATCGCCAGCCATCTTTCCTTCTATGTCCTCCCTGTGTTTTTTCTTCCTCCTAAGCAGAACACTTTATAGATGAGTGGCATTGCAAAGTGCCTTCTCTTATTTCCTCATCTATAAATTGGGGATAAAACTACCCACCATATAGGATTGTTATATGAATTAAGTAGAAAATGTGACTGGCATCTCCTTGTGGGGGT